CCCCCCCCTCCAGAACGACCACATCAACAACAGCGCTCGCCACCAGCCGGGAATGAGAAGGAGGATGACAATGGCAGGGGTGAAGGTACCGTCGGTGGCGACGCTGTCGGCACTGGTGGTGCTGGTGGTCGTGGTCGAACAGTGACCGTGATACGAGCGCGGGACCCGAAGGAGCTCGTTGACGTCATCCTCGCCGACCTGTGCTCGTCGTGCGACGGCGGTGGTGCTTCGTCGTAGCCGCGTGGCATGTGGTTGGGTTGATCAACCAATCTCACGAAATAGGTGGTGAGAGATAGAGGAATCTCAGGACGTACGTACTTCCCGTAGGAATAATGGAGGTGGCATAGTCTAATGTTGTTTTTGTTGTTTTTCTCCCATCATTGGACTCTGTCGTCTGTCCCTCTGGCCCCTATCCTCCACTTCTACCAGCTAGACGACCCAACCGGGGTCACATAGGAGGGGGTGGTTGGTTAGCCTCCTGCGGTTCCTGCCTGAGATATTTTTATCGCGAGAAGGGTACAGCAGTCCCTTCCCTCGCGACTTATGAAGTCGATCAAGTTTACTAAAAACGAGCTTTGCAGCGCGTCGCTTCCAACGGAAACTAGGATTTAATAAGCGAGAAAAAACTCACCCTGTCGGGACTCAAACCCATGACCTGCCCCTTAGCAGGCTGCGAGGCTGCCCACTGCGCCACCGGGGCGATCCTTTTTTTTTTTTTCTCCCATCATTGGACTCTGTCGTCTGCCCCTCTGGCCCCTATCCTCCACTTCTACTAGCTAGACGACCCAACCGGGGTCACATAGGAGGGGGGAGCTGGACCCCCTCCTGCGGTTCCTGCCTGAGGTATTTTTTTTCGCGAGAAGGGTACAGCAATCCCTTCCCTCGCGACTTTCGAAGTCGATTATGGTTTACTAACAACGAGCTTTGCAGCGCGTCGCTTTCATCCTAGACCAGGATTTATTCAGTGAGAAAAAAATCACTCTGCCGGGGCTCGACCCCATGACCTGGCTCTTAGCAGGCTGCGAAGTTACCCACTAGACCACCGGGGCGACCTATGTACCGGACTGATTCTTGCGTCGTCTTGTAGGAACCAGGCGAAGGAAGGCGCTAATTGTCGGGCGACCGGGCGGACGTGGTGTTCGCCTCTTGCATATGGAACGCAGGGTGAGCTTGACAGTATGGGCTGTTAGGGACTCTTCCCATTTACGGACTTCTACGCCCTCTGATTGGTCGAGCGTTGGTTCGGGCGGTCGATTCCTCTGGATCGCCCTTTCCCCATTCCGCATTCCGGCAACGCGGCGCAGCTACGTTTTAGTACCGTTTGCGGCCGCTAGGCCGTGCGTTGGTCGTGGGTTAAGGTTAGACTAGGGTTGGGTTTGCCACGGTGTGTGACACGTCCCATGTGAGGAACCTTTAGGTTCAACGTCCGGTTGCTGTAGACCGTAAGTGGACCTCGCGTTTTAAGGGGCAATGGTCCATGTTAAATGTTAAACTGCTAGGTACGGGTGCCATCGTGGAAAAGAAAAGCCTTAAAGATAAAAATGGTCCGTGCTGAGAAGGGCCCATTACCAGATGCGGTTCATCAGCTGAAGGTAATCGTACATGTGTACGCTGCGGGTTATTCGGGATTACTCTTTAGTAGAGCCAGGACCCCGCGAAAAACGCTCAAAACGCTCCTGGCCTTCAGCAGCGTGTTGCTTGCCCTGCTTCTTCCTCCGAGATGCGCTTTTATGTGCAACTTCTCGGCAGACTCGCGATGCGACACCCGGGAGCCCTTCCTCTCCGAGCGTGTCGTATTGCAAACCTTTAACCTTGCTGGACCGCAGATACAATCCGCGTCGCCCCCCCCGATCGTTCAAAAGGGGGCTAGACGCATGAACCACCCTGCCAGAGATCTGATGCACGATTTATTGCCGTACTGCGCGGCCACGATGAATTGTGCCGCTACCCTTGTGACCAACGGCAGACACAGCGCAAAGGGCCCGCGCGCCGTGTACATAGTTGTCCTACAGTAGTGAAAACTCTCCGCCGAGGAACGGAGATTCAGAATTGCCTTTCAACATCAGTGTACGATGCATCCATCACAATTGATCTCGGATTCGTCGTCGTTCAACATTGTAGGTCCGTCACCACTAAATAACACGCCCACAGATACCAGTACAACAAACAAAAATCTCGATCGTGGCGAAACTGCTAGTAGCCGCGAAGGAGCGCTTCGAATCCCAAAAGTACTCTCAGGCATGCTTCCGCTATTGTAGACGCCTCCTTGCCAAAGAAACGAACTACGCGGCAGATGCAAATTTCAAATTAATCCTCTCAAGAAAACCTGCCCCTCCCAAATGTCGTCCAAGACAAAGTCAGCAGAAGGGATCAAACTCTTGGTGGTGATATCCTGCTGGCTTTACCAAGTGCAAAAATAAATATTTTTCTCCATCTTCAGAGCGGCCGTATTTCGTCGCAGATACGGTTGCTTGCCCTGACCAACACAGACGACAAACGAGCAACCTCTCCAACAATCGTCTTCAAACCAATACGTATATAGGTGGAGGTTTTCAATCAAGGACGACAATGGCCTTGCCCGACCATGCGCCGCGCCACTCCGACGCCGAATTCGCCACGAACAAAATTTCGCTGTAAACCTAACGTTCGACTAACCGTGCTACCCGCCACCGCCACGTCACAAGCACCGGCATCACCTCGCTACTACGCCCTAAACCGCCAAGACGTTCGTGAACGTCTCCAGGACGCTGATCACGCACCCGAGCACGCCCATGGCCACCCCAGCCGCCACAATCCCCGCGTTCAGCGACATCTCCCGCTTCTGCCCGGCGGCGGCGGCGGCGGCGACCGCCTTGTCCTTGAACTTCCTCATGAGTGGCTTCAGGAACATGAGCGCCGGGAAGACGTAGACGATTCCGGAGCCGATGAGCGCGCCGCCGAAGGAGTTCACGAACCCCAGGTCGGTGAGCTTGAGCGACGCCGCCGTAACCCCGGCCAGGAGACCCACCGTCCACCTCGTTCGATTCCGCGTCTCCCCCGGCTTCGCGCCGCCCATCTCGCGGATGCCGTCGCGGAGGCCCACGAAGCAGAGCGGGTAGGAGAAGACCAGGCTGGAGGCCACGGCCACGCGCGCCACGGTCGCCAGGCGGTCCGTGGTGGCGTAGTTGTTGAGGATGTAGCCGCTCGACGCCCCGCCAAACGTCAGGAACCCGAAGGCGGTCACCTATCGAGGAGGATGAGGGGATTGGGATTGGGGAGGGGGGGGG